CACCATTGCGTCTAGGGGACGTTGGAGCTTGTCACAGAGAAAGCGGTGTTTGTTCCAGCAGCTCTTTTTCGAGACGCGAAGCTGCAAAAATTGTTCTTCTCTTCTTCAAGCCACTATTGTTCTTTGCTGCAAGATACCGCCTCACCATCTCAAGATGCCCAGTACTGCCTCCCGCCGACGAGATCCCCCGGGACCAAGCTAACTCGCGCCCGCAGCCCCGTACTCAACCGGCGACAAGACGTCCTTTGGCTGGGTCACCGCCCGCGAGCGTTGGCCTGTCATTATCGTTTGTGCTGCCCATCTTGAGAAGACACTGTGACTTTTGCTGACCGCTATGATACAGACCCAGGCTATTGACGATCTCTACCGTTCCGTTGCAGCGACCGACGACAAGGAGAAGCAGGAGGAGGGCAAGAAGATCGTCGAGCAGATTGCCCGCCTCAAGTACGAGGTCCAACACGACCGCGCCCTTACGTACGACCCATACAGGTAGCCCTTAGGCTGCGCATATGCTGAACTTCGCAGGCCAATCGAGGACGACGGATACCCTGATGTTGCCATCTACCACGAGGACCTGAAGAAGCTCGGCGAGCCGACATGGCTTAACGTTCCTTGGCTCTACTGCGAGTGCTATCTGTTCAGGTAAGTTCTTCGCTGGCAAAGTAGTTCACAACAACCTCAGATCCGGTGCTAAGAGTGCAAAACACAGACGTATCAGCACCTACTTTGCCAAGTCCACCCACTGGAAGAGCTACGACGTCTTTGCCCGCCAGAAGATCAGCACCTTCCGCTCGTCTCGCCCTGCAGTCGTCGAGCTTGCCTCCAAGTACAAGGACATCGTCGAGCAGATCCGTAGCAACAAGGGCGCCGCCAACGATGAGGCCGCCGAGAAGCTTCTCTTCACTGAGATGTGCGAGATTTGCCTCTGGGGTAACGCAACCGACCTGTCCCTGCTGACAAGCTTGACGTACGAGGACATCCAGAAGCTGCAGGGCTCCGAGGCCCGTAAGGCTTCCGAGAAGAACATCATCGCCAACGACCTCCCCGCTGTGTACGAGCTGCTGAAGAAGGCCAAGGCTGAGGGTAAGGCTGAGCGCCGCGTCGACATCGTCCTTGATAACGCTGGCTTCGAGCTGTACGTCGACCTCATTCTTGCTGGATATCTCCTTTCTGCTGGCCTGGCCACGCACGTTGTTCTGCACCCCAAGTCTATTCCCTGGTTCGTCTCGGACGTCCTGCCAGGCGACTTTGCTCAGCTTCTGAGCGCCATCGCCGCCCCCAAGCCGTTCTACGAGACACCCTCAGAAGACGAGCAGTTGCAGAACAAGACCCCTGAGCCCCTGTCGAGCACGGACGAGGCCAACCTGTCGTTCTTGTTCCAGGAGTGGAGCCGTTTCCACGCGGAGGGGCAACTGATCCTGAGACCCAACCGCTACTGGACGCATCCCGGTCCCTTCTGGCAGTTGCCCGAGGAGGCCAAGGATCTGTACGAAGACCTCAAGGCCAGCGAGGTTGTCATCTTCAAGGGCGACCTCAACTACCGCAAGCTGACTGGCGATGTGAGTTGCCCTGTGCTCGACTAATGCGACGAAGCTGACACATTTTCAGGCTGACTGGGACGCCGCGACGCCCTTCACGGAAGCGATCAAGAACCTCGGCCCCGGCTCCGGCGTCAACGTCCTCGCTCTGCGCACCTGCAAGGCGGACGTCGTCGTCGGCCTCCAGCCTGGCGAGGATGAGAGGCTGAAGGCCCTACCTGACGGCGGCGGCGACTCCGGCTGCAGAAAGTGGGGATGGAGTGGCAAGTGGGCAGTTGTGTCTTTCTCGCCCGGCAAGTGAGCTTCTTTTCATTCCGTTTTATATCTTTTAGAGCCATGATCCCATATAGACCCTTCACTTTGAGCAGCCCAGATGCAAATAGACCGATTGCCATAGAATTCAGCTACTGCTGTTCTTCATCTTGCTGCACGTCCTCTCGTCGCCCCTGAATTACAGCCAGCACCATCACAATCCCGAGTTCTGCCACATCCCCCTCGCCTGTTTCGTGCTCAAACCCAGTCGTCAACGGAAGGATCGTAAATCGGAATTCTTGGTCTTGGCTGAGGACGCGCTTGAGTTGAAGGCTTTGAGTCGTTACCTTTGTGCTGTGTCTGTTTTCGACCTCCTTGGCCGTTGGAGTCACCCTTGTCCTCACCGTCACGGTTCTGGGCGTCATCATGGTCCTCAGCATTCCCATGATGTTCGACGGTTCCGTGGACTTTTGAGTTCTCTTGATCTTGACAGCCTCTCGGACCTTCATCGTTAGGCTCCTGGTGTGGCTCGTCTTGCTTGGACTTCTTAGGTGCGACCTCCGGATTGGTTCCTTTTCCTTGCCCTCTAACCCTGAGTTGCCTTTTCCTTGCGGCCCGTTCTTTTGGATCCTCCGCTGCGGGCATTCATCAGCAACTCAGTCTATGAAACCAGATGAGGTATTCTTACCAGGGGAGCATTCCGTGCAAATGGTGTGTGTACAGCAGCAGCAGTCGTGTCTATTCCTATTCGGCACACGACACTCGCAGCAATGCCACATTTGGTCGTAGACACGGTAACAGCAGTCTGGGTCGCAGAACGTATCATCGATATAGTCGTCTCGCATGGTCGATAAGCCGCACAGTCGGTAGCCACTTCCGAAAACGTAGGTTGCTTTCTCGCATGGCCTGCTATGTCCTCGACGATCGTGGCCGCACAACGTGAAATTGAGATTTACTTCACAGCACATATTGGCTGTTTGGTGGTTTGTGTGTGTGTATGGCAGACGAGAATCCAAACTCGGTTCAACGGGTGAGAAGAGCTTTTCGTCATTTTTATCCCAGGAATTATCTGATCCATCATGTGGCCTTCAAACAGAAACAAGGTATGAGAATATTATGGTCAAAGATGGGAAGGACCATTCAGGTAGCCGCTGCCTCCGCACCTTTTGGATCTGCCCTTCACCGAAGCTCACCATCTCCACACCGAGTCCATCACCAAGCTCACCATGGAGTAGTCCACCAAAATATTACAACATCGTACCAAAGCAGATACAAAGAAGGCTTTACGACAAAAGAAAACCTCTCCCTCACAGTCCAAATCTGCATCCCTCCTTCCCGTCCGTCTCTCAAATGCAGATCCCAATGCAATCCGCCCCGCCCCTCTTGGGATCGCAGTCGTCCCTCGGGTCGTCGATGCAGTACTTCCCCGCAGGACACGCCTTCCCGATGAACCCGCCGCACTGGATCTCCTGCACGCAGATGCCCGGCATGTCGCACGCCTGGCCGCAGCCGCCCACCCAAGGGTCGTCGATGCACGCGAAGCCCGCCGCGCAGACGGGCGCCGGCGTGGGGCGGAAACCGCCGCAGTCGCTGTAGCTCTTGGTCTTGCTGGGCAGGAGGTGGATCGTCTTAGTCGGCCTGACGAGGCTGGTGAGCGTCGCGGGGAGCGTGAGGCTTGAGAGCAGGGTTGAGGCCGGGCTTGGGATTGGGTCGACGATAGTCGGCAGAGGCGAGGCTGGGAGGGAAAGGAGGGTCGTTGGGAGGACTGGTTTGATGGTTGATGTTGCGGCAGCGAGGAGGGGCTGGCCGAGGACGGCGAAGAGGATGAAGGAGACGTGCATGGTGAGCTTTTTGGATGGGGAAAAACACACAAAGTTTCAAGAACCAAACGTTTGAAAGTTTGATACGAGGCTGGAAAGTTTTAAGTGATGGGTTTGTTGATTTTGGCTTGGAGGAGGAATGCGGTCTGATGGGCCTCATATATACTACATTCCAGCCACTGCACCAGCACCAGTCTCGACTGACATTTCGGGCACAAACACGGGGTACATCATCATTTCTTCTTCCATTTCTGGGGTCATGTCTGACGTTGAGTGCAAGGGAGGAGGTCCCGAGGTTGTCGCCTCCAAAAATGGAAACAGGCTACAAAGGAGGCTAAGGCGGGAGGGAAAACGCCTTTCGTGTAGCCACTTCAGGCCCTGATCGGCAGCCCAGAATCGAGTTTCGAGGATTCAAAAGCGGCTTAGATAATGTCGCGGAAAGCCACAAACATACGTTGCACCCCCCCTCATACCTCACGAGGTGCATAGAAATACGGCCATACGTAACGCCCAAGAGGCCTATTCCATTCAATACAATCCGGCCAGATAGATGCGTCTTTAGTTTTTAAGATCTAGTCTTCAGCTGCTCATCGTAGCATCAGCGCATTGCCTTCGTTATGTTCTGGCAGCTTCCGCGCGGGGCAAGGTTCAGCGAGTGCCAAGAGCGTGCGGGAAGATCTTCCTCTTATGTTTTTACGCCCTTTCAGGTGGGACGTTTTCGGAGTGAAACTGTCTTCACGGGAGAGGCTTACTACGGCAAGGCGGTTTAAACAAGACACGCATGACATGATAAGGTGTGATATAAGGTTTTGCAGCCCGGGGGCTAAAGAGGCGGGTAAAACGGTAGGTTGCCCAGCCCGGTTCAGCTCGGTACGATTGAGGCGTGCCGAGGTTGATCTCTGGTTGGTGATGTGTTGCAAGTTGGGGAATACGAAGGATCTGGGAAGGATACTTTGGATGAACGCAGTTGGTCCGATCTTTCGAAGGTGCTTGCGTCATCTGACTTCCGGGAAGAAACACGGTCGGCCCGTCTGGGAAGGATCCGTACAGCCACCGCCCGGCAGGCTCCGATAGGCCCCACCATTGGCTCCGGTGCCGACGCCGAGACTCCGGCTTACTGCCGTCCTGAAACATGAGCGAACGCCTCACTGCTGGACTTGATTGGATTGCCATTTAGATTATTCTGCCTTTGAGATGCAATCTTCCGTTCCAAAGAGGTGAAAATGGCCATCGTATTCCCGGGAACAATGTTCTCCCCACACCGAGAGCAAGGTCCCTGTCTTGGCTCAACTTTTTGTACAAGGTTTCAAGCGGTCTCTTGTTGCTTAAAATGGTTTCCCTTTTCCATCACCGACCGCTTCCAGCATGTCTCGGAGCAACACACCACGAAATGACCAACGAGCGTAAGACGAGAATCACCAGGACGCGCTCCGGGTGCCTAACATGTCGTAAGCGGCACACCAAAGTCGGTGTCACTCTTATCTTTTGACTGCTTTGGGTGTTTTGAATTAGGCTAATCAATCGATGCAGTGCGATGAGGGAAAGCCTCACTGTCAGACTTGCATGCGGCTGAACATACCGTGCGCCGGGTACCAAACGGGATTCAAGTTTCAAGAGGATCCTCAGCTGGTGCGTCTGAAGGCTCGGAGGCAGGCCAAGCAGGGAAAGTCGGTGTTTTCGCGACAGGATGGGACATCCGCTTCGCCCGGCTCATCGTCATTTACACCAGAAGAAGAGCTCAAGGCAGAGGGCTACGACGAGAAATGGCTCCGCGCGCACTTTCCTCGCCAGCTTCCACGCATTTTCCGCGATATTTTGCAAGGTGTGGGACATGACAGCGTCGCATTCCGTGCAGCGGTGTACGCTCTGGCGCATGTTCCTGTTGAGTTCAGCAGCGAGGCGCCGAACGAGAAGCAAGTGACGGCATTGAAATTCTACCACTTGTCTCTCCAAGACGTCTCGAAATGTCTCCTGGTAGACGACGCTGACCACATGGCTCTTTCACTCGCCATCCTCAGCGTCCTCTCAATCGTAGAGATGAAGCTTGGGACATACCTCGGCGGTCTCACGCATGCAAAGCAAGCTGGCGCGCTCATTGCCGATGACCTAAGCAGTCTTTCTTCTTCAGTAGTGGGCACACAGCTGGTTGCCGCGTGGTTGCCCATCAAAGCTTGGTACTCTGTTCAATGTGTGCCGTGGGAAAACCTTGCTCACGTCCTGCCATCCGATGCTCTTAGCCAAGCTTGGGATCTGCTTCGGTCGTCGGAGGATAAGAGTCATGAATTGGCTGCGCTCCTGGTTGAGAGTCGCCGGCTGTACGCCCTCGTATCACTACATCGACTGTTGAAAACGAGTTCCAGCACCGATGATATATCGAGCTGGCCAGAATTATATCGAGTTGTTGTCAACAAGTGTTCCTCTGGACTGAGCGGCAGCGAAGAAGCTTCATGCCGCGCAGAAGTAGCCGGCATTCGCGATCGGCTAGATGCCTGGCACGACTCGATTCCGTTAGAAGACCGGCCCATCTACGGCACGACATCCAGGCTTAAGAAGAAGCTCTACTCACAGCCACCCGGTGCACGGATTGAACCGCTCACCTTCCGAACCTACCGCGCAGCAATGAACTACGCCCGTTACGCCGCTGCCCAAGCCCTGTCCTCCGACGAGGCCCTCGACACCATCACCGGTGCGACCTCGCTTCCTACCGCATACAGAGACGAATGGAATCACCTTGTTCTTCAGATCCTCGCGGGCTTAGAAGAACTATCATGCACCGGCGATGACGACAATTACCTAGGTCTGATGTGGATTGTTGGCCAGGTCGTCGGGCTACGCTGCTTAGACCCCGCCATTATATCGTGGATCGAAAGCCACCTCGAGCTCTTGGCGTCGGCAAGCCAGGACTGGGGATCTCTTATGCCCAAAGACCTCTTTAGGCCTCTCCTGGCTTTGCAAAGGGGGCTGCTTGAGCGTGGGCGGGCAGCGGTGCATATTTTTGGGGACATGGGGCCTAGTATTGAGCTTTCTGAGGCGAGATCTCCTGCAGCGAAGAGGAGCGTATTGGTTGTGGGATTAGATATTGAGTCTGGCAAGGGCTTTCACGAGGTGGTTGTCATAGAGTAGGGAAAAGTATGCGTAAGGGCATGGCTTAGACGCATGAAGTGGGGATATTCCCCAAAAAGGAAAACGAGAGCGCGCTCTGGGGGGATGGTTTTGGAGTCGCCAAGAGCTCGTGTTGATGAACACCAGCTGGATATTTTGCTGTTGCCTTGGCGTAAATCGTGTATAAAGACAATGAAGGATATCCGGCGATTAAAATTGTATCTTGTAGCATCTTCCTTCTGCCAGAGCTGACTTTGTTCCCTTCTCGAGTTGAAGTCAGCTAGCGATAACAGCCCGCAACATGTCAGCCACACTATCCGCCTCGACGTTGGTCGCAACTCCCAGCCCGACTCAGACAACAGCAGCCGCATGCATCAGTATCGCCCCAGACTCAAATGGCCATGTTCCTTACGGTGCCTGCCACGGAATCTGGCCCTATGTCCCCAGCTTTGAAGGAAACCTCGCTCTCGCCATTCTGTTTGGTCTGTCAACACTGGCTCACCTCGTCCAGGCATTCATGTACAAGCAAGTAAGCGATTATCCATTTCCGGGATTATTTCGATCAGGCCTGTTATCTAATTAAAAACTTGCTTCAGTGTTACTGCTGGGTTATCATCATGGCTGGCGTCTGGGAGACTTCCGCCTTCGTCCTCAAAACACTGGGAGCGAAGAATGGCCGTGTGTTGCCATTCTACATCATCTCTTCGCTCACATTTATGCTCGCTCCCTTATGTAAGTCATCGGTGTCATTCACTCAGGAGACGTACGGCTGCGAAGAAGTCACTGACCGCCATCTTCTTAGGGATCAACGCATATGGCTATATGGTCGGCGGTCGAATCGTTCACTTTTCTGTTCCCGACCGACGAGTCTTCCGCATAAAAGCGTCTTATATGACAAAGCTCTTTGTCGGTGCTGATCTGGTTTGTTTTGGCGTTCAGGGAGCTGGCGGCTCGATGCTATCGGGACAGGGGAGCGCTTCAACGATGCAGAAAGGAAAGGTTCTCTACACTGCAGGTTGCATAGTTCAACTCATCTTCATCGCGGTCTTCACTGCAGTGGTAGTGCAACTGCAGCTCAAGGTCCGGAAGAACCCGCCTTCGGCCTGGAATGCCAATTCGTTGCAGCTGATCTGGGCTATCTTCATCGTCTTGATTCTCATCTTCGTAAGCACCTCCGGGGTTGTCTTGAAAGGACACATGCTAAATCACGTCTAGGTTCGACTTATTTTTCGGCTGGTTGAATTCGGTCCCGGCGGAATGAATGAGACGATAATGACTGCAGAGTTGTACGCGATTTGCCTTGACGCTGTGCCCATGGCTGTCGCACTGGTTATTCTGAATGTTTTCCACCCTGGTCGAATGTTGGCTCAAACAGCTTTCGACAGAGTCATCATGGAAGAATCCGAGATGGGCAACGTACCAAGACGCCAGGGACGTTACGAGGAGCTGGGACAGGCTGATCGTAATAGTTCAGTCTCGCCATTGCCTAAAGGACGTTTCCCATGATCGTTCCTCTCAGGATCATTTTCAATGCCAGCTGGCTCACCGGCCCTGTCAGTAGAATTGAGGTACAAGCCGTTGTTGCTAGTTGTAATAATATGCCATTTGTAATCTAAGATGTCTCGGTCACATTTCTCGTGTACCTTACTATCGCTGCGCTACAAGTATCTCAAATGCCTCATGATGTCTACAGAGAAAGTTCCCCTCATAGCTTTGGCGGAACCGTGATGCCCAACTCCTTCGCAATGATATCCGCCGCCTTCTCGCCGACAACAAAAGCAGTGTTGTTCGTGTTCGCACCTACGTTCTCCGGACAGATACTCAAGTCCACAAGCTTAAGCCTCTCGACGCCATACACGCTCAGGCTCGAATCGACAACACCCTTGTCATCCCTCGGCGCCATCTTAGCCGTTCCCAGAGAGTGCCACGTCGTGTTGAGGTTCTCTCTCACAAACTGCTCAATCGCCTTGTCGTCTTCCGCGGTGTACTCGATGTTGACGACGTTTTTGTGCGCATCCGCAGAAACGTCATCCACGAGCGCGGCCTTGGACGTGGGCGCAAAGGCAGGGTGACCGCCGGCGACTTCACCGCGGTAGAGGGCTGTGCGCCGGGCGATCTCGCGGGCTTTCTTGTACGCCCAGATGTGCTTCTTCAAGTCGATGTCGTTGGCGTCCGTGAGGAAGCCAGGGTTGAAGTCGAGCGGGTCGGAGACGTTGGGACCCGTGATATGGATGTGTCCGCGGGAATAAGGATAGGCGGTGTAGTTTGCGCCGGTGGTGTACTGGCCTACTGGGATGCCTGAGTGGTCACCAAGGAATCTGTAGGTTATTAGTTTCAAGTTTTCTCAGGTGAAGATGGGCTGGAAACTGACCCATGTAAGAAACCGCTAAGCATCAGCGGGCGGTTGATGTCGTTCTTGAAGTCCTTGTCCCATGCGGCGCGGAATTCAGGGCCCAGGGTATCAATTTCCTCCTCTGTTGGGCGAATCTTGCTGACAATGTCAACGCCGTTCCAGCCCAGCATCTTGTGCTTCTGCGCTATCGCATCTTCGTGGCTTATGCGTCCACTGAAGATCTCGTCGAGTGTCTCATCCTTTGAGAGCGCTGTCTTGTAAGGGTAGAGGATGAGATGGTGGTCCTGGTAATCATGTCCAACGCCGGGAAGATCGGTAACAACGGGAACGCCGGCCTTGGCGAGAACCTCTTTGTTACCGACACCAGACCTCTCGAGGACTCCAGGCGTACCGCATGCGCCGCATGAGACGACAACAAGCTTCTTGGCCTTCACGGTCTTGACCGGGTGCCTTGTGGTGTTCAGGACAGCCTGGTAGTCGGGGTTCGGGGTGTACTCTACACCAACGGCACGCTTGTGCTCATCGAAGATCACCTTCACGACCTTGGACTCAACCAGGACGTGGAGGTTGGGATGCTTGCCGTCCTCGAGGAGCGGGTGCAAGAAGGTGTGAGCGGCATCTTGTCTCTTGCCATTGGGCGAGACGTAACGCATCCATCTCTCGAAACCATTGTTTGCCTCCATGTTCTGCAGATCGCGGATTTCGGAGTATCCCATCTGCTGCGCCGCAGCAAGGATGTCGTCCTCGGCACCCGGGACCCGAAAGCCTCCCGAAGAGATGTGTACGGGGCCTGACTTGCCATGGTCGGCCGGGTCACCATTGCCATGGTACGTCTCAAAGCGGTTAAGGTACGGGCGGAGGTCTTGGGATGACCAGCCGGGTGTCTTCCAAGAGTCGAAGTCGGATTTCTGGGCGCGCGTGTAGCTGTGAGTATGACTCGTCAGCAATGGGTCTCGTGAGGCAACGCAGAGTCAGAAGGAGGCCGATCGTCTGGAGCTAGACCCCGAGCTACCCCAACTTTTCCCCCTTCCCGATCTCATATGCCGCGTTCCCCCGCATTTCGGATCTGGGGGCGGGATGAAACCGTTGACGAGCTGTTGGGTGCGGTGTTCGTGGGGCAAGGGGCGGAATTACGGGCAAAATTACGTACAGCATGAAGTTGATGGAGGAACCACCTCCAAGCATGCCCCCGGATGGAACAATGGGGCTGCGGCCTGCCAGCTGCTCCGACGGGCTGCCTTGGTAGAAGATTGCGGTCTTGCTGTCGGGAGCAAGGTGGTCGAGGAAAAAGGCCGGATGAACGACGTTGGGGACATCGCGGTTATTGGTTCCGCCCTCGATGACCAGAATTGAGAGTTCTGGCGCAGTTGTCGCGAGGCGACTGGCGAGAACGCAAGCTGCGGTTCCTCCTGTTCAGTGTCAGCAATTGCTCGTGTCTTTAGAGACAAGTCTCGGTATTACCTCCAGCAATGATCACGTCAACCTCATCGAGGCCATCGGCCAGCTTCTTGGTCAGACCCATTGCAGCGGTATCGCAGAAAACAAAAGACGGTTGGTTCTCAATGGATCAGAGAGACAACAGGGCCAGAGAAAGTCGGGACGAAGACCGCAGTAGCAAACACATCGCGGACCCTGGGTTTTATATGCCTACTCCGCACCGCCAAAGCTGCATTGGAGACGAAAACGCGCCCAGACATTGTTGAAATCTCTCATTCCGCAGTGCTTCCGCGCGCTGATCTCTCGTTCTGACACCCATTGTTGGGCACATGGCCGCACGGATGATGGCGGCCGCCAGCTGCGCCAGGCGGCCGGGCGGGCGAGGTGCATCGGGTGCGGGGAAGGGCGTCCTTTGGTGATGTGTCTAGAGCTGTGCCGCGTTGCATCGTGGAAGGAGGCCAAGGTAGAAACCTCGTACGCGGTGTCTTAGACAGGGGGCCTTTTTGTGTGTGTGGCCAATGGACGCCGGCGTGTTTGCTAATCGCTGCAGCTTTCAAGGGTCCTAATGCTTCTTGGGTTTAGCCTTACCATTCAGGGTGAAGCCGGGATGCGTGTTAGGGGCATGCAAGCTGCTGTGTAACTGCGCTATTGACTAATGGCCATCGGAAGCGAGCCCTCAGGCTTTAGGAAGAGACGGAGAAACAATGGAGAACTCATACTGACTCGAAGGATTGTTAGAGTTCAACGAGGTTGGACGTGTCGGTTTGTACGACGATCTCTGGGGGCGGCGAAGGATTCAGTGTGCATGCGTGGGATGAGGGGGAGACGGGAATCCATCCCAGGGGGCTGCGCCGGTGGCCCTCCGAAGAATGAGCTTCCAAGGACGGTTGGCATCTTCCTCGTTGGGGGATGTGGGAGGGACCCTCTTTGCGGGGTGAACAAGGGTCTGCCAAGGAGGTTGCTGAGTGATGGCACGCTGCGGTTCATGGTCTAGATGAGGAATGATGCCGTAAAGCGCATGGGCGCTTCGTCAGATGCTATGTAACATAGACATGTTTGCAGTAACCTGGTATGGAACGTTGGTATTTTGTTGGTGAAGTATGTTGCTGCTCTGTTTGGCTGGAATTGCTCGCATCACCAGGCTGTCGCAGAACCATCCGCGACCCATTGTAGTCTCAGCTGGGATCCTCAAGTGAAACAAAGTCAGGTGAGCGAAGAGAACCACAAATAGTGACTCGTGTGTTTGGATGAAATTTTCTACTGATCTCAATTGGCATCAGTCCTTCTCGAGAAAAGTCGTTCGCCAAGAGCGGACATCAACTTGGGCTACGTGCAGTTCGGTGGTTCCCAATTGTAACTGTTTCTGAAAAGCGGAGAAACGCTTTCCAGCGCTTTGTCTACTAACTACTTAGTTTCTACCATCAAGTTCCTGAAAGCCATAGGTAAACATGTTCAAGAATTAACCAGCAGGACGTTTGAAGCTCTGGTTCCTCCGTAAGCTGTTGCTAGGAGATATGGTTTTCCTACTCGAAGAATCTTTGAAACGCCTTGAACTTTCGTTTTCTTTTTGAAATTGTCTTTGGCTCTTCAATATTTTCGCTACCCGTATCAAGTTGGCTTTTTCTCATCCTCTGACTGCAAGATGAATGTACTCTTCTGAAGAACTTATATCGAGCAATCCGTAGAGCTCGAGGTTCGTCCCGTTAAAAGACAAAAGCCTGTTTTGAGTTTCCACTCGAGATACCCACGGGAGGAACTTTCCCGCCATGCTTGCTCCGATAGTTGTGAGAAATGATTGAATAATGTTGCCGGGTAGTTGGGGACTTCGTGGTTGAGTACTGGTGTCTTCCAGCACATGGTTTCAAGTTTTTAACTCGCGACATACCCTCGATGTCCGACTTCTGTCTCCCATGGAATATCGTTCGAGGTTTTCTGTCCACCACTATAATAGTTAACAGTAGATCGCCGGCTTTGCATGATCGAAGTAACTCGTTTCCTTTCGGCGGCATGTCGCCCAGTTGCGGTTCGTCTGGTTAAGGTTCTTTTTGTCGCTTTCCCGCCTCGGCTCCCATGTGCTCGATTCTCCCCGCTGCTTTTATGCTTCTCTTTTTCTTTCTGTCGTATTTTGACTTTCCATTTCTTGTGTTTCTTGCCTGGGTTCCACATCTCGTCTTTTTCTCTTTTTCACCCCGCCAGCTTACTGTCTTTTTCCAACCCCTCCCGCTCACTCAACGCCAGCTCATCTCCATCTATCTCCTGTAAGCAATGCCACCCGAGTATTGTTCACATTTCATGCTGCATGCCAGACTAACCTGTGACATCCTTATCGTAAAGTCTGGATGATCAATCTCGCTCTCTTGTTTTCCTCCGGAGTCTTCAAGATTCTCGTGCCTTACGTGGAAAGCAGCTTCCACGGACGTGCCCTAAAAGCTAACACCTCCGTCGTGGCGGATATCGCAAGCGGCATTTTCAGGCTGTCTTTTGCTAAGATGCTCGACATCTGGGATCTAATCGAATGCATTATTCTCATGGTGGTTTTCAGTATTATCGGCCCTGTCATGACAGCTGCCTGCCAGAATATCGAGGCGTACTGCGCAGCTCAGGCATTCTAAAATGACGGTTACCACGGGATTCAGTTCTGTCTGATCATCTTCGTGGGAGACTCGGCACTCAGGAAGAACCGGGTGTTCCCTTTGAGCTGGATTTCCACGCCGTCAGTCGCCTCTATACGGGCGTATGGTCTTGCAGCGCAAGCAATTCTGGAAATTATTGGCTGTCGGTGGGGCCTTGGCATGTGGTGCATCCTCGTCCCGGTCTTCTGTTTGCCGTTCCTCATGGTGTCCCGCCAACTGAAAAAGGCTGTAGCTTCAATACACCCCTCGATAACTTCCTTGAATACCCCTGGTCTTACCAAAGTCAAGCTGTTGCATCAAATTCAGGAGTTTGACTTAAATGGGCTTTTGATGCTTGACACTGAGCTTTTTTCTCTGCTCCTGTCTCCAAGCATATACTCTGATCAGGCTGACGGCTGGCGGTCGCCGCTAGTAACATGCTTTCTCATGTTTGGGGCCTTCTTGTTATCGCCTTCGGACTGTTCGAGAGACTCTTAGTCCCGGTCACATTCCTGTCCTCGTGTTATCGGCAATCGAACTGTCATCTTTACCAATATTAGACCTAACTGCAAGCCTTCACTTTCCGGAGCTCCTCTCCTTATCTTATCTCTATTCCGTTTTGATCGTTTTATTCTTTGAGTCAGTCGATCTATACTGCGTACGCAGAGACACAGCGACTTATGTTCATTGTGGCGCTTTGTCTGCCAGCAGTCGCCAGGATCTCAATATAGCTCTGGAAAGATACTGACGTCAAAAAGTCTCAATCCAAGAAGAAAGCATCTACCGATGACAATCACATCAGATATCTGACGTTGCGATTGCCGGCAGATGCGTCATGAAATGCGTCATCATAGTCTGCATGCAACGCTGGCTGCTTTCACGGCATCGCCTGAATTTAGATCCCAAGCCAACGATGTCAGACATATCATACCGTACTCTGTTGGATGTCGGATAGCTGTGGGGCTGTTAAATGTTGGCTGCTTCTCACTATCTTTTCTCCATGTTCATCTTAGAAAGATTGAATGATACAACATCGCCTGCACTCCGTTCCACCCCAGCTCAAATTGAAGCCCTTCACCAGAAGGAATCAGTGATACAGACTCAGTTCCAAGAGGTACCCCATCTGACTACAGCTAAGGTAGGTGTTCCGCAGCCTTCAGAGCGGCATAATTTACCTGCTGCTACGACGAAGTAATCAGGAGGGCCGCGGCCCGCTCAAAGAATTCCCAGGTCTTATCCGTGGAGTCTATGAGTCCTTGCCTGGCTGCGAAATTCCAAGCCCCTGTCTGGTGCCGTTACCTCAGCTTGACGGTCGTCTACATTATTCGTCCTCGGTTTTCGGGTGGTGCTGTGATGTTTTCTCGGGTTACCTAAAACTCCGGCGTTGTCGGGAATAAGTCTGGGGTCAGTTCCGGAGAAAACTATTTCGTTCGGACATATTCGCGGTCTCTTATTGGACGGACTTCGCGAGTCAGGTCGCCTCACAGCCGCTCCAGACCCTCTCTTCCTTCAGTCATAAATAATACCCCATGGTGCTAGGCAAATGATGATATGTACAGCCTTACGCAAGCGCAGACCCGTCAAGACGCTGACTTTTGTTTATCGCATGTTCTTGTTCATTCTACTCTTACCACGATGGATTCCGGTACTTTCCTCTCCAAACGAGGCAAGCAGTATGCGCTGCCGGCGAACAAGAATAAGCTCTTAGGTATCCTGGGGGATGTCTGGCACCCAGTCAACAATCCTACGGGCTACTTCAACATGGGAGTTGCTGAGAACGTGAGTGGTAGGCTTCATTCCGAATATCATCAGAGAACTAGAAACTCAGTCCCTCTTGACTCAGACCTTGATGCAGAAGGAGCTGCTGGAATACATTACTGCAAAGGTAGGCTAACGATCCAGTGAATAATTGTACCGGATTTTCTAATAAAGTTGTGGTTGAGAAGCTGACAGTTGATGGCGCCATCTTCGGATATGGCGACAGCTTCTCTAGAAGTCATCGACTGAAGGATGTCCTGGCGGCATTTTTGACTCAGCATTTCAGAGCTGTGCGTCCAATCCAGGCTGCTGACCTCGCCATCACGTCCGGCGTGAGTGCCGCCATCGAAGCCTGCGCCTTTACTTTGGGTGACGTCGATGATGGCGTATTATTGGCACAGCCGTTTTACAAGGCTTTCCCATACAATCTGTCGAACAGAGCAGGGTATGTTTAGGGCAAGGAAACCAGAACAAACCCAGTTAACTCAATGATAGATTGCGGCCTGTTTTCGTCTCCTTCTTAGGGGAGGATCCAATTGGCCCCCATAGCGCAAAACAGTATGAGCAGGCCCTTCTCGGGGCTCTCGAGCAGGGTATAAAAGTCAAAGCCATGTTGTTGTGCAATCCCCACAACCCCCTTGGTTGGTGCTATCCCAAAGGTTCAGTCGGAAGGGCGGCTACTGATCTGCTAGAAGGAGCTTGCGCATCTCGCCACACTCTCGTAAGCTACATGAAGCTCTGTCAGAAGTATAATCTTCACATCATTAGCGACGAGATATACGGTCTATCCTGCTGGGAAAACCCAGAGACGCCCGAGGCCCCCGGCTTCCATTCTATGTTATCCATCAATCCACATGGCATCATCAACTCAGCTCTTGTACATGTGCTCTGGGGAATTAGCAAGGCATGCCCCCCTCCCACTACCTGGATAAGGGTATACGTCGTTTGGTGCGTATGGTTAACGTGCCGATTCTCAGGATCTTGGAATGAACGGCTTTCGGCTGGGCTTCACCAGCCCAAAGAAATTGCGTTTAGGACACCAAGCTGTCAAGGCTGGATGAGGCAAACGCAGCACAATATGGTCGCACACACATTTTCTCTCCCGGAAGCCGCTAACCCCTGCCCGACTAGTCTCCTTGACGTTCTTTCTGGGAACAACTCGCAGCCATTCCTACGTCAGCGATTTCGTCTAGCGGTAGAACTCTCTAGATGTATCTCGCAACTATGCACTTCATTTTGCACTCTCGACCTTGTCTCATTGTACAATTCTCCCTAATGTATTGCAACCTGACGCCAATCAGGTTCACGAAAGCTTCCGCAGCGAAAACAGTTCTTTTCTTCCCAAAAGTCGATTCGAAACAAAGCGTTACGTCTCCCGATAATAATGCTGATCTATTGGAACTCCGACTTTTAGGCTTAGAGTCCAGCCGCCCAGAACAATACTTCTGACACGGGCATGCCGACGCATGCTTGTCTTGGGATATCTACCGTCATCCGGGGCGACAACAAAACCCGATTCAGATATTCAAAAGAAATCCATGACATACATGTCCTAGGCGTGGCTCTTCTGGGAATCGTATGTGTATTTGTGCTGTAACCAAAGCGGATTGAAAAGACTTGCTTACGCACCATAGGGCTCTGGCAGCCGATATTGACCCTCGAGAAGTCCGAATCTCTAAAGTTAGAGACCCACATGCTATTAAGAAGCATCTCCTCAAGCATGCTCAAAAGGCTTTGGGAGCGAAAATGGGAGACAAGTCCCACAAGGTCGTTGTCAAGTGTCTGAAAGGGGATTTCAAGGCAGTCGATAACACCAAAGAAGACCTCAAGTTGCAGCAAGCAATCAGCGGTAACGTCGTGTATCTGTTCCAAAGGTCCGCTAATAGTACTTGAAGCCAAATGACAGCAAGTTGTGTCAGGTAATCACTAGGAGAAACATTTGCGCGCGTTAGTGAAGAGATACTTGCGAGGAATCACTTTAGCATCATGGACACTTGTTCTATTCGTGACCATCCGTGGAGATTATAACAATTCTTCCTCATTTGATACTGCTTGAGCGTTATGTGTGACAACTGCTCTTACATGATAGGGACGCCCAGCTCTGCCTTTAATCCTGGGCAGAACTTCAAGTTAGAGGGCCCAATTCCGATCAAATAGGTCGCTGCTAAACAAACCTTCACAAGCTCAGGAAATTGTTCCAATAGTCCCAATCCAAGTTCCCGTCATCCGTCAACCCGAGACCATCAAGATTTTGCTGACTGGGAGCCATTGACGCTTGCGCATCAGCTTCCATCTTTTCCCTCGCCTTATATCCAAGGGTTTGGATGAAACTAGGCGTAGTTTTCGGCTCCTGTAAGTCATGGGCTGCAGCCACTGCGTTTTGGTGAGCTTCCCAAGCTTCGAGGGTCAAGCCCCGCAAGGACTCAAAGAAACTACTCTTCGACTCCAACATTTCTGGGTAATCCTCGTAGAGTGTTTCAATAGACTGCCATGCCTTCTTCACTCGATCTCCAGTGCATCTATACCGAAGTTCGCTGATGATGTAGATGTAGGCGTCGATATGACATTTGGACGTCATGTGAGTGAAGATATGCGCAGAGAATTTGCTTCGCAAACCTGCCTCGGCCGCTTCAACCCAATTCATCGCCAACTCAAATAACATATCATTCTCCTCTCGACTCATGACAACATCGTCGCTGGTGCCGGTCCTTCGACACCTGGGATGATAGACTTTGAACCTCATCCGAGCAATCACCAGCTTCGCCATGTTGAACGTCTGCGCATGAATCGGTATCCGCTTGTCTACGTCCTTCAGGTACTTGTTGTAGTAGATGCCCTCAATCTCGTTGATGGCCTTGCTCTCGACCTCCATCATGGTCTTGTCTCTCGCCCGGCTCTGAGCAATATGCTCGAAGACCAGCGATGCTGCAGGTGTCGAACGAATCCAGTTGAAGACTTCGTACTTCATCAGCACGCACATCATCTCCGTTGGACGGCTGTGCTCGATCGGTGCCTCTGTCATGTCGGGGTGCAGATCCGCGTCATTGACGTTCAAGGGCGAGCGCAGATCGCCAAACTCGCTTCTCGACGGTGGACACCTCGAATCTGGGCTTCCCAAAGCGCGAGTTCGCGCTTCGAGTCCGTATAACTGCCACCATACCCGAATACGCATCTCCCTCTCGAAGAAGGATACCTTGGGATCTGGTTTGGCATGATGAATGCCTAGGCTTCTGCATAGCTTCAAGGCCGCGGCCGTCAGAGTAGCCGTCAGCTCGGACTCGGGGTTGATGAAGAGAAACAACACAAAAGCCTGGACAACCTCAAAGTCTTTTGTCGTGAGGAAATCCGCTTCAACGAGGGCTCGGAAGGCTGCAGTGCGGTAGCGCGTCATCAACGCGACTCTGCTCTCGTTGAAGGCTTTTTGGCAGGCTTCTGGCGACATTGAGGTGACGGAGAGGGCGTATATGGCGAACATGGTTGCTTGCAGGGGCTGAGGTGCTGAAGAGGGGTTCCAGCTTGCATCGAGGACGCGTTGTTGTAGGGTTGGGATGTGGACGATCTTGAAGAGAGGGTTGATATTGTCGACGAAGATTTGCCATAGTCGATAGATGTGTTGAGGTTCAGGGTGGGATTGGGAGGGTGAGGTGTTTTGGGCGGAGAACATTTGGTGAAGAGACGGCATCGGTGTCAGGATGGGATCGTCTTTATGGCAGACGCCGTAGATGGGAGGATACTTGAGCTGGTGGATATGTTAGGTTTGGTACTAAAGAGGTCGCAATTGCTGGAACTGACGTACCTCTGGGCTGAGATTTGACCATGAACATCTACTGAAGAGTCAGTGGAGGGGCAATGCTACCATACGGTGTGGACATGCCTTTCTGTGTCTCCTGATGAATTATCGATATTATCTGAGCGACCAACTGCTGAGCCCGGGCTGGTAAGTGCCGGCGTCAAAGGAACGAATCGCATCGGCTCCGGCTCATCAACTTGAGCTTCCAGTTTCGACGGGATCCACGTATGCGCCAGAGGTGCAAAGTCAACGTTGTTCTTCCGCATTAAGTCCTCGTAAGCGGCCAACCGATTGAGAAGGTCATCATCGGCGGCCCGCTTTCGGGGTCTTCTATGCAAGGCGGGAGCCTCGTAAACGCATTGAGATTGCGATTTGAGGCAATTGGAACAGGGGTCTCCTTTGTCACACTTGACTTTACGGCGTGAGCAGATAGAGCAGGCGGGCTTGTGGGGTGACGGTGATCCGGAGGCCATTTCTGAGGTCAGGGCGTGAGTCTTGTGGGCGATGAACAGTCGGAGAACCTCAGGCGTGATCTCGGGATATGAGATTGCTAAATGCCAATTTTCAGTTACGCAGGGAGATGACGATGAAGAGCCGTGGACAAAAGAGTCTTTAAGATGACGGTATGTGTCTTCGGGCGATTCGGCCACGAAACGAGCTTAGTGTGATCCTTCTCGGGACCCGGTCAACCAATGATGCTCAGGCCGTCATGACGCTACCTCCTTCCGGGTGGATAAGGGGTGACGGTCAGATCCTCCGCCGGATGGACCTGCAAACATTTCCGTGGTTTGTCCGGTGCAAAACGGCACCAAGATTGGCAGCAATAGCCAGAGACTTGCTGAATGTGGAATGGAGAATATGGAGTCCGGCCCGTTCCATGTGGACACTCAGCAAGACATGCGCTAGCCCCGTTTGGATTACTCGGGCCCGAAGGCATCCCAACATTCAGGCTAGGCCAATCAAACAACAGAATGCCGTTCATCTTCTCGGGACATCGACTAGGCTGCCCGAGAATATCATGGTCCATAGAAACACAATCAATATACATAAAGACACAACTTGCCATCCTAATTATGTATCTGTTCTCTCGCTCAGTATCGTGCCTCAAATTTCCAATCAGAACACCCATTCAACAGCAACATCCCCCTCTCGTATCTTCACCATGTTCTTCAAAAAGAACCAGTCCACAGACTCCCATGTCTCAGCGCAACCGTCCGACTCTTCGACATATGCCAATCAAAACCCAGTCGTAGAAGACACCGATATGACAAATGAAACACAGGAAGCAGTTCGCTCGAAGACGAATAATTCCGAAAATGTCCAATATCCTTCAGGCCTGAGTCTGGTTTTGATTCTGAGCTCTCTCTTCATCAGCATGTTTCTAGTTTCACTCGTAGGTTTTGCAGATACTCCTGCGCTAAAAATTCCGTCAGCTAACAGCATAATCTTCCAGGATCGATTGATTATCACGACCGCTATTCCTAAAATTACCGATGAATTCGACTCTGTAACCGACGTCGGATGGTATGGCTCTGTCTTCCTCCTGACAACCTGCGCTTTTCAACTACTCTTCGGCAAAATATACTCCTTCTATAGCATCAAGGCGACATTTCTTGTCTCGGTATTCCTCTTCGAAGTTGGTTCCGCAATCTGTGGGGCCGCTCCCAGCTCCGACGTCTTCATCTTTGGTAGAGCCCTGGCAGGTGTTGGCTCGGCGGGAATCCTCACAGGCGTGGTAAGTACTTTGGAAGATATGCTTTTCCTAGGAAGAAACTCGCCTTCTAACGCAGCCTCCACCTAGATCATTGTAATCGTGCACGCCGTGCCTCTCCATAAGCGACCTATGTACCAAGGCATGTTCGGCGCTGTCTTCGGTATCGCCTCGATCGTTGGTCCTTTGGTTGGAGGTGCTTTCACAACAAGGTTGACATGGAGATGGTGCTTCTATATCAACCTTCCTTTCGGCGGAGTCGCAGCCTTGGTGATTGTCTTCCTCTTGAAGCTCCCCGACAGAGATGCAAGCACGCTCTCCACCAAGGCCAAGTTGGCGCAGTTGGACTTTTACGGAACCTCGGTGCTTATCCCCGGAACCGTCTGTCTTCTGCTGGCATTGCAGTGGGGGGGATTGACCTATACTGTAAGTCGCGATGATTTTATATTGATGACGGTTATATCCTAACATGGCTTGTAGTGGAACAACGGGCGTATTGTTGCGCTTCTTGTACTCGCATGCGTGCTTCTGATTGGCTTTGTTATGGTCCAGATCTTCTTGCCCAAGACAGCAACTATCCCTCCCAAAGTTTTCAAGCAGCGAAGCATCTTGGCAGGTGTCTTTGCAACGTTCTGCATCGGATCGCAGAATATGATCATAAGTAAGCATGGTTGACCTACATATTCCATACCTTGAACTAACAAGTACCAGTCTATTACCTGCCTATCTGGTTCCAGGCCATCCAAGGAGTCTCTGCTGTTGAATCAGGCATTCGCCTGCTCCCGCTGGTGCTTTCCATGGTCGTTGCGTCACTGATGACGGGAGGACTCATTCGCCGAACCGGTTACTACACGCCGTTCCTCATCATCGGAGTCTGCTTCATGAGCGTTGGCGCTGGACTCCTGAACACTCTGCAACTGGATACTCCCAGCGCCAAGTGGATCGGGTACCAGATTCTATACGGCTTCGGCACCGGTTGTGCCTCTCAGGTCCCCAACATCGCCGCTCAAACGGTACTTCCGAAGAAGGACGTTCCAATTGGTACCTCCCTTATGTTCTTCTCTCAGCTTCTTGGGGGTGCCATCTTCATCTCCGTGGGCCAGAACGTCCTCAACAACCAGCTTCTTGAGCGCCTTTCGTCGGTCCCGGGCTTCAATTCCGCCTTGATTGAGAGCAGCGGTGCCACGTCCCTGACAAATCTACCAGCTTCGGTCAAGCAGACTGTTTTGGTTGGCTACAATGAGTCGTTGCGTGTTGTCTTCCGTCTTGGACTCATCTTGACCTGTCTCTCGATTCTTGGGGCGTTGGCGATGGAATGGCGAAGCGTCAAGCAGAACACAAAGAAGGAAGCGCCAAAGGCTGAGGAAAGCCAGGCAGCTGAAAAGGTATAAC